TGTCGTCCGGTGCAATACCACGCCTAACCTATCGGGGCCTTACGTGGTTTGCCCCTCCAAGTCCCGGGGCTTAGGTTGCCGGTTTCCACCACTGAACAGCAGGTCCTCGTGACTATGGGATTTACCCCGTCTGTTGTTTATCACACTTAGGTATTTAATATTAAAAAAATAAAGAACTAGGCCAAGATAATTGACAGGGCTCTCACACGAGTAATGATGACTGAGTGAATTCATCGTTTTACGTCCAAGCAGCTTTGTTCCACATGGCTTTATAATTAGTTACCATTTCANGTTTACCCGAAGAGTGTGCATACTACTAGTGCAATGGTACTGGGAAAACCGAGTCCGAAGTAGAGTGGTGAGTTGGGTTATTCATCCCAATGGATAGATTTTCAGCTTAGACACATCCGTCGTATTGTGGCACCACGAGGCCTGTGATGATAAATGAAACAGGCTGTTGCTAAAGTAAAACTGTACTGCGATCCCAACACCCAAGACAAGGAAGGCATTTTTATTCGAGGCTTTTTTACACGAGGCGGTCCTGTCAACGACGAGATTATTCATTATCCTTGTAATACACGACACGCGGCAATGGAACTTCCTCATACCACATAGTGCCATTCTATTGTAACAGAAATGACTCGAACACTCTGAATGCCTCATTTTAAGCTGAAGATTACCAAGACCGAACAGAAGGGTGTCATGACTATGGAGTGTGCTGTTCATTAAACTACGAAATATGATCAAAAAGGGAAAGGAAAACAATCAGACTTATATTGATACTCCGAACCATTTCTTTATTGATGTCGCTTGTTCACCAAATACGTGTGATAAACCGCGTATGGAATGAACCGCACGGTCGCGAAGACTTGCTGTTCCGTGGTGGAAACCGGCAGCCCAAATCCCAAGACTTAGAGTGGCGAACCACTCCAAGGCCTCACTAGGTTAAATATGGTATTGAACTAGACGACAGCAACGCTGAGTACCACCAAAGTTGAGTGGAGGTGACAGAGTTTGAACATCGGACCCTGGAGACCAAACCACGTCACTGACAGTGACTTAAATCGTTTGGCTCTCATCACCAGAGCGGTAACGGGATGATGATGCTGAACGTTCGTATTTAACTTGGTTAGCGTATTACGAGTAAAGACTAGCATACAACTAAGAAAAGTAGATCTAATGATAAGGTAACAAATGACGCAAATCTGCCCATTGTTTACATCTCCATGATTTCTCTGCAAATGCTGAGCACGGCTGGAAGAAACGTCGCACCGACCAGACCATGACATGGAGTAGCGGTATGAAGAAGATAGTTTCAAAACGGTCTTAGGTTGGTGCAGCCCATCTTCCAGGTTGGGGGTCTAAGAGCTGAAGATTGTCATTGATTAGCAACGCTGAGAGATATGGATCAGACTAGAAGTCATTGGTGCGGATCCTGTACGGTCTGTCTGATGGAGTTTCGGGTCCCGTAAAACAGTAATGAACACAAGGATAGCAAATGTGTACAGTGAAACGAAAGACGCTACTGTTCTTGTGGCTGTCAGTCATTGGTTTCTCCACTCCCACCCCCGGTTTCGCATTTGTATGCCCCCTTCGGTGTTTCCGCGTTGGCACAACGCCTGTTCGTAAGTCGGTGATATATGTGCGCAGATTTACAGAAAAAACGATGACTGTCGATGCAACTGGCGAATGCTTCAAACAACCTAAGTCAAAGTATCAGAAAACAGGACTAATACAAGCGGAAGTAGTCGTGTTAGACCACAAAACCTCCGTTACCAGCCACGTTTCCTCTCGTTTCAACATTCCCCTTATAGCATTGAAAAACATCATCATTATAGGCGGTATAAAAATGTGAGAATACCTGGAGTTAGAAACCGTGTGGAAAAACTGAATGGAGTGTTAGATATTAAAAACCGAATACGGCCCAGGGTGGTGGTGACAATAACTAAACTACTCTCAAATCTCTCCCCAATTTCACCCCACCACTCAATTCAAAATGAATCAGTATCAACATTTTAATGCACGACAGTCTAGACTGGGTCAGAAAATGCAATCGCGCAATCGATTGGCATGCCAATGTCGGGAAGAAGTAAACTTCTGCCCCAAAACTTAGTCCATGATCCAACAAGCATGAGAGAGTGTGTATGGGGGTGGGGAGAGTAAAGTATAGGCGCACTAGGGATAAGTGGCGGGAATGCCCATCTGTCCCCCGTAAGGTATGTCTGCTTCTCATTGTACTGATGTTACTCCAGTTTTAACGTATTACAGGCGCGCGAGCGCGGGCAAGCGCACAAATCGTCCCATTCCATGATGGGTTGTTGCAACCAGGCCGATTCTCGTTCAAGACAAATCACGCGATACAGTTGAAACAAATCAATATCGAGATAGTGAAATCGGGAATCTCCAGAATACTGTTGCAATCTCCAATCGTCCTCCTCCTCCGTCCCCCGACAGTAAATGACCTTATTTAGCGTCCACCGTGCGGCGGTCTTTCGTCAGGCCACGAAAAGGACTCCGAAAGTAGGTGCTACGTTGCTGGGACTTCATCGCTGCTAGGTTTCCGGTTTCCGTAACTGACAGCAACCAATGCCCTGCTGACTCCTCATCATCCTACTCAGTGTGCATCACAACAACAAAAAACATTGCACAATAGCACAACGTGAACCACAATTAAGCTGTTCGTGGTCCGGTTTCCACTGCATACAAATTCGACATGCTCCGGAGATGTGCTGCTTGAGTAGAAGCTCACAGATGAAAGACAAGTCAACTGGGCCACTTCCCATCACGGGACGAGCACATCGAAGTGCTTAGGGGGGGTGGAGGGAGGGGGAGGCAAACGTGATAACACGTGTTGTCTTCATAGGCGAAAAAATACATGACAATATGAATGATCAACAAGTAGATTTTTAATCGACGTCTATCAAATAGGTGAATCATTCTTTTCGACGTGAGGATAAGTCGGCTAAGTTCAACAGAAACATGGTACATAGTGGTATCCACGATTTCCATAAAATTCTAAGGATTCCCGTGAAAGGAGGAGCAGCACTGGTCGATCAAGGTTTGTATCACAGAGTATCGGAGAGCGAATTAGGACTGTACAAAAGCACGCATTTTCCAGAATCGAATAGGCCCAGTATTTCACATTGAAGCTATGTGCCACATCCGAGAATCACCCTGATAGGTATTTGCAGCTGTATTCCAGCTATCTATGCGACGAACAAATAAAGACACTGCTTTAATTTATTTACATTCGTCCTTTGAACCTACACCACAGCACACTATAATGGATGAAACGCCAAAATGAAGAAGACAATCGTTAACCCAGATCATGAAATCTTGAACTCCGAATGGGATCCACTGGGGAGCTATTACAGACGGAGTGAGCTGATTGAGCTCAATTATAAACGTTTAAGAAACAAAGCACTGATCGCAGTTACCGGATTAATCAACTATTTGATGCCAAGCTAACCGAATAACTTGGGGTCCAAAATTCACACAACACAGTTGGGCTATGGCATACAAATGCAATTGGACGGACATGGCAAACTGATCTCAATACAAAGCCTCTGTGTGGATCAACTTACCAGACCACACCGAAAGCTCCGTATCCAAGTCCTTTCTCCACAGCCCCGTGTGTTCCATCGTTAGGATTGCGAGGAGGTAGATAGAATGGTTTGGTACTGAAGAATCCCGGAATTCCCGAATACGTCGAAATGCTCAACAGTGCCTCCTCACGTTGTGTCTCCACTTGCGGTGCAGACCGAGAAGACAAATAACCAACCTGCACTAAATTCCGAAAATGCCCGTGTGACGAGGGTCGATGTCCGTACAATGTGGTTGACATGATAACTACTGTACAGTGGGAAAACGCGTAGAACTTTACTGTAAAAAAAACACCAGCACAGAAGATCGGCAATGATCAGCTGATGTGAACCTGGACACAATGATTCGCTCACACAAGGCTAGAACGAGGAACCTGGGAAGAGTGCTGTCCGAACCAGTCGGTAGTCAACACACCTTTGTCACAAAGACTGCACCGAACACTGGACCAGGAAAGGCGGAGGTCGAGGCTATGGACGCTGATTTGGAGCCAGTAGATAATGGTGAGAACGATGAAGATAATGATGATGAAGATAAGCTCCAGAACCGCACTCGCAACAGGAAAGACATGAGCGAAAGATTGCGTATGATCGGGCTCGCGGGGCCGGAGGCTAGTCCGACACGGTGAGATGATAATGATG